TCATTTAGAAATCACTGTCTTTAAGTATTTAAAAGGATGTATGTCCCTTTTTAGTAACTGTTTCCTCCAACAATTTTTAATATGAAATAATTTTCTGTCCCTATTCTACAAATATATATTGAGTGCCTATGGCTAGCCAAACACTAAAGAAACAGTGGTGAATAAAACATTCTGTGCCTTGGTGGAATTTAAAACTATTGGGACTCTTCCAATTCCACCAGGTCCCAGAGATGCAGACTAACTGGAATTTGTAAGTTAAATACGTAACTTATCTAACCTGCTCAGTGTGCTGAAGCTGCATGCCTATTTCTCAAACCTCAAGATTGGAGGTTAGCGCCACCCAGGGCGGCATACTCCAGAGGACAACCAAGTGAGCTCCTCCAGCTTTTGCCAGCTCCTTTCCCCAGAAGAGAATGTGCATAGCTTTCTTCCAAGCTCACTTTATTCCCCTCAAGGCTTTCTACACGAACTTCTCCTAATCTGCCTTCTGCTCTACCTTCTTTCTCTCTTCCCACCTGTGATTCTATCCTTCTATTATAATTATCTCCAACAACAAAATGCACATACAGTAGTCCTCCCTTATCCTTGGGGAATGCATTCCAAGACTCCCAGTGGATGCCTGAAACCATGATAGTACTGAACTCTATGTATGCTACGTTTTTTTCCTATATATACACATACCTATGATAAAGTTTAATTTATAAATTAGGCATGGTAAAAGATTAACAATAATAAAATATAACAAATAAAGCGATACACTGTAATAAAAGTTGTGTGAATGTGGTCTCTCTCAAAATACTGTACTGTACTCAACTATTTTCAGATCGCAGTTGACCGCAGGCAACTGAAAACTGTGGAAAGCAGATGGGGGGAGACTACTGTACTCTGAAAAAATTCATTGCGGTGGCGGAAAAGGTATACAGATATAAGTTCAAGTACCCTAAAACTGCCCACAAAAACTTGTAAGTGGGTTATAGATTATTATCCCTAATATATGCAATAAAATATACAATATTATTTTTTTCTAGATCTTGGATTTACAGTTTAGATTAGTGGGTTAGAGTTTATCTTCCAAACTAGTTTAGGAAAGATGTTCTCTGTCTAAGTCTTGAACTAGACTATTTGATTAATGTCAGGGACAATAACATCTCAGAGTAAACCACTGGAACACCACAAGCATGATCTAACGCATTGAGCTCGTAATTACAAACCAGTAGAAGTGAATGAATTCTAACCTGGGTCACCCTCCTCATCATATTTATCTAAGTCGTACTCAGCCAGCTCATCATCATCTAGCGTCCTGTCGTCCTCTGGGTCACCATCCTCCAAGGGCTCCCTTGGTCGAGCCTGTGTGCGTGCACTTTGCATGCCATCTTCTGAAGGATTGCCTGGCTCCTCTTCATCACTGCCACCTTCTTCTCTATGGGAATGACAACACAAAGAAAAAAAAAATCACTCAAATGGCACCTTCCAATAATGAGACCACCTGGTCATCATTTAAGATACATACTTTATTTGGACTTTACTATAGACATCAACATTCCTAAACTTACTGCAATTTTTCCTTTGCTTCAGCAATGAGACGTTTTACTTCTTCTTTACTTAACTCTACCTATAAGAGAGCAAACGTTTCATTAAAATATATTTAAGGAAATCATTACACGTTTTTCAATTAAAAAGTTTGCAAACAAATGTAATATAACTTCAAGATAAGAATCAAACGTCAATCTAGACTCTTCTATATCTAACAGAAATGGAGTTTTTACAGCTCTTTATAATTAAGATCCCTTCTCACCTTGAAAGTATTCACAAACCATGCTCATTCTACTCTACCTCTCTGTCTTTAAAACAAACAAAAGCCCAAAACTGATTTTTGTAAAGTGGCTCTGTGGCGGTGCATCTGGTTTTCTTCTATCTCTGGCTCCTTCTAGAGCACCTCTCCCTCTCTTCCCTGTGGGCATTCATTCCTTAACAAACCACACTTGCATTGGTTCTCTGCTCTTTTCCCTATTATCACTGCTAACTAGTCATTCGTTAGGCTCTCATCCTTGTAACACTCATTCATTCTCAAGACTAAAATTACCTCCGAACTGATTACTCCAAATTTTCCCTTCTCATTTTATACTCCAGTTCCATTCCTCCAACTGCCTATAAGACTTCTCACTTGAACATCCTTTATCTGAATATTAACAAATTCAAAACTGAAGCCACTCTACTTCAAAACTGACATTCCCTCACCAATCAATACTTCAGTACCTTTAAAACGCCCCATCATTACTAAACTGTAAGTTCCTTGAAGACAGAAACTGAATTGTTTATCTAAGCACATAGTTTAATGCCCGGCCCATGGCGGCAATGCTTAATGAATGATGATCAATCAATCAATCAATCACCCAATTTCTACTAAAGTGCCTCTAGTAATATGGAAATCTTCTTGAGAATGACTTTTCATTGTGGGACATCTCCAGAAATTAAAGGATTAAACTTTTTTTGTTTGTTTTTAAAAGAGATGGAGGTCTTGCTGTATCAACCAGGCTGGTCTGAAATGCCCGACTTCAACTGATCCTCCCACCTCAGCCTCCCAAGTAGCTGGGACTACAGGCACGAGCCACCACATCAGCTAAAGGTTATTTGTTAAGTTTAATTAAAAGACACTTATTTGTTCAATTTCTCTTACTGGTCCAAGTTTTCCCTTCTGGGATTTCATAAAAAATTCAATCTCTTCTTCCTATAAACTCTTCAAGCAGTGATTCCCAAACTTGTCTGCACATTAGAATCATCTAGGGGATCTTTAAAAAATTTTAGGCTACACTCCAGACTAATTAAATCGCAATACTCAGGAGTGGAACACAGGCATCAGTATTTGAAGCTGCCCAAGTGTTTTCAATGAGTAGACTCATTTAGAAATCACTGTCTTTAAGTATTTAAAAGGATGTATGTCCCTTTTTAGTAACTGTTTCCTCCAACAATTTTTAATATGAAATAATTTTCTGTCCCTATTCTACAAATATATATTGAGTGCCTATGGTTAGCCAAACACTGAAGAAACAGTGGTGAATAAAACATTCTGTGCCCTGGTGGAATGTAAAACTATTGGGACTATTCCAATCCCTCATTACTGTCAACTCCATGTCCCATCTACCCACACTGCTATCACCTTCTCTCTCTCTGTCGTCATTGCCCCAATCAACTACACTCAAATCAACCCCTTTACTTCTTTAATAGCACCCGTTCCCACTGACATACCATATGTCAACTCCACAAAGGCAGGGACTTTCCTGTCTTGTTCATGCCTATCCCAGGACCCCGAACGATGCCTGGCATGCAGAAAGCACTTAGAACTTGATTAATAAATTACTTAAGTAATCGTCACCTGTTAGACTTAGTCTCCAACTCCTGCAGGTTTTCCATAACGTGTCACATTTACCTCTCATCCCCACTGCCATCATCATCGCACTTGGATTACTTCAAAACACTCCTAATTCAACTTCCGGCCTCACGACATCTTAGCCTGCACACCCGTTTTTCTACACCACATTCATCCTTACTCCGTCGAACACCGAGCACAGGAGTGGAAAGTGGAGTTTTCCCAGCTGTGCTCTCTTCCCAGTTACGCCTGAAAATGCACTGGGGTGGGAATGAAGCTGTGGTGTTGTCAAAAAGCCTTTTGGGGTAGTTCCCAACCAAAGCAGCAGCCCACCACACCCCCCTTTTCCAGTCCGCGAAGTCCACGTGCGTGCGAATTTGGGGGTGGGGCTGGGCTTGGGAGTAGGTGCGGTGAAGAGGCGCGGCCCCTGACTGCCCAGGCCCAGAGATCCGGACCCTCCGAGCCGAGCTCTAGTCACGACAATCGGGCCAAAGCCGGCCTCCCCGCAGCAAGTCTGACTAGGCTGGCCGAGGCCCAGTGTTCCCGGTCCAGGGTCCCCAGGCGGGGCTGACCCGGCATGCCGTGAAGAAGCCGCTCCCGCTCTCTCCCAGCCACCAGGCCTCACCTTGTCTGGCGTCTCTTTGGCCACGCCGCAGCGGACCCAGGCCACGCATGTCACCTGGCGGCTGCGGTTCATGCTTCTCGGCTCAAGGACCTGTCAGGCTACAGACCCGGCCGCAGCG